AGCAGTGGTGGGTTTCAAAAATTGTTCGAACCTACTCTGTGGGTGTGGCCTCCTTTGTGGGAGTGGCTTGCCGCCCATGTGACCGGATGGGAGTGGCTTTCCACCCATGTGACCGGATATGAAGATGCCGACGACACTTGTCAGAACCACCTTAAATTACCTCACACACAGCACTGGCATGCATAAGAATATGATGTAAACTTGTTTTTTAAAAGGCATCTTTGGTTTGCGTTAAAACAACTTCAACACACGCAATGTTCTGATTGCACCACAAATGCAGTAGTCATCCTTACCTTTCACAGAGGCACTGAGTTTTATAAATATGAGCATGACAGTGTAGAATAATCATATCCAAGGACCAGTGGTGGGTTTCAAATTTTTTGAAAACCTCTTCTGTAGGTTGGCCCTGCTTTCCGGGTCCAATGGTGGAACCTCTTCTAACCGGTTCGGTAGATTTGACGAACCGGTTCTACCGAATAGGTGCGAACTGGTAGGAACCCACCTCTGCTCCTGTTCTCCCTTTAAGCAAAATATGAAGTTAAAGTTAGTGTGATTTTGATTTCAAAAGAGGTTTTCAGCTCAGTTTTCCAGACATTGAAGCGTTAAATGCAAGTGAGGGAAACAAAGTGTTTTATTTCATCCATCCATCCATCCATCCATCCATCCATCCATCCATCCATCCATCCATCCATCCATCCATCCATCTATCTATCTCTATCTATCCATCTCCATATCTATCTAGCTATCTAGCTATCTATCATCTATTGTGTCACAACCCCTGGTATGGCCAAATATGGGAGGGAGCATACTGCTTCCCTTTTATCAGCACAAATGCAGCGTGCACACACACACACACACACACACACAAACACACATGAACTTCCACATGCCCCATTTTCAGGCCTTTTTTTCAGCCATTTTTGAGGCTTTTTCAGTGTGTTTTCGAAGCTTTTTTCGGCCAGGTATTCCCCCCCCAAAAATGGGCTGAAAAAAAGCCTCAAAAACGGGCTGAAAAACACCTCAAAAATTGGCTAAAACCCCTCAAAAATGGGCCGAAAAAAGCCTACAAAATGGGCCAATAAAAGCCTCAAAAATGGGCTGATAAAGCTGAAAAAAGTGGCTGATAAAAGCCTCAAAAATGGGCCAAGAAAAGCCTCAAAAATGGGCCAATAAAGCCGAACAAATTAGCTGAAAAAAACCCCTAAAAATGGGTCAATAAAAGCAGAAGAAATGGGCTAAAAAGCCTCAAAAATGGACTAAACCCTCTCCCAAATGGGCCCCAAAGCCCCCCAAACAACCCCCAAAGGCCTCAAAAATGGGTAGAAAAAGACTGGAAAAGGGGTGAAAAAAGGCCCCCAAAACAGAGGCCAAAACCCTTTTTTTGTTGTTTGTTTTCCTCTTCCAAATTTAAGTGCGTTTTATAATCCGAAAAATATGGTATATTTGGGGCCAGTTAGGATTCTTCTTTTTTAAAAAAAAATAAGTTTTTTATTTTATTTTAATACAGACATACCATCGTTCATTAAACAGTGCATCACCTGGGTGCAAATATTTTGTGCAATAACAATTACATTTACAGCCATATTCATTATTTTATCTATTCTTAAGTTAATACTAATACATAACATAGTATTATAAGAATCCCCTTCTTCACTTATTTCACTTTATTAATACAATTTCCCCTTTTCACTCCTCTGCTTTCATTTCTAATTTTCCTATTTATTCCCTAACCATTAATAAAATAACTATATCTATATATCTCTATCTCTATCTCTATATCTACATCTATCTATCTATCTATCTATCTATCTATCTATCTATCTATCTATCTATCTATCTATCTATCTATC